GTGTCTGCGCTCACCAGGTGTTCCCGGCGGCTGCCGCCCGTCCCCAGGACGCACTCCCGCCTCCCCTCCGCTTGTCGTCCAACACTCCACGTGACAATGGCCATCTGTATATTTAACATTTGCTCACCAGTGCGCACGGAGCGTACACATGGTGTATTGCATTCTCTGCAAACACGGCTGGAGAGCGGCGACGGCGGGCCGCTTCCGGCGTTCGCGCGGGCCCGGGAGGGGACCTGGGGCCGACCGGGGCCCCCGCGGTGCCAGGCGCGTAACGCCTGCGCCGCTGTAACGTTAGCGCGCGGGCTGAGGGCGGGGCGTCACCCGACACACGCCTCCAGAAGCCCCGCGGCTCCTGGTGACGCTCGGTGACGCTCGGTGACGCTCAGTGATACAGCTGCTTGCTTGAAGGTATGCGGGACGATAGGCTGTGCGAGCGGTAAGCCGGAGTGTAGGATAACATTCGGTTGGAGGGGGGGGGGAAGGTATTCGAATCACTCCGGCCTGCAGCTCAGCTCTACCCTTGCTTCACAGGGAGGTCAAGCGGGCTTGCATACCAGCTCGTGAAAAATCACGTGACACAAGGGGAAACAAAAATGCTACGAGATAGTCCTTCAGCCTGGTCCAATTTGCGAAATGTTTTTTTGGCGCTTTTTGAGGCACCGGTACTGAAGTGGTTGGGCTGCGCGTATGGAAAACCAACTGCACGAGTTCGATCCTCCGCCGTACCCGCCCTTTCTGCCAGGGTAAAAGGCAAGCAACGCCACGTGGCCTCAGCAACTGAGTGCGTCATAATGCCCCAAAGTCGACGACGATGGTGAAATAAAGCGGCCTTATTCGAAGGAGAAATAGCATTTTGGAGTGTTCAAGTTAGACAAACATTAGTAGAGCCCTTTTATGTTTAACATCCCTAGCTGTAAGGATTGCCTCAATGGAAGCACACAACGGAAAAATCGCTCTTGCGGCGCTTTTGCGTGAGAACACAAGAGATCTGTGAGGCAATAAACGCCTCTGGTGATGGTTTGACACGAGAGTTCTGAAGGTCAACTGTGCCTTTGTTTGTGCCGTTCAGCACAGTGGCGAACATTTCCAGTAAGCGAATGCGAAGTTACGCTTACATGGGTTATTGCAATACCCATTCCAGGTATATTGATATCCATTCCTGGTCATGAATGCACTTGCATACACAAATAACCAGCATGCTCTGAGTAGAATGTTAATTGTGCCACAAAACATAAACATAAGCACCTAATGACAAATGACTACAGTTGGCACTTGATCTTTTTTTTGACCGGCGATCATCCATTCATATTGCCATTTATCTCGAGTGAGTACATTCTCGCTAATTTTGGATTGCTGATCTCATTGGTGCCTCTTCCGATTACGTACTCCGGGCTGACTGGCAGAGTTCGACATTTGTCATTCTTTTCAAACGGCTTACCTACTTGATAAAGTAAGCCAAGCGAATGCTAGCAGTTTAGTTAAACAAGATGCAATGTGATATACATCAATAAGCGTATATTAAACATCATCAAAACAAAACTTTATTCCCTTTAATTTTTCGATGTTCCACGTTAAAAGTGGGCGCATTTGCTCGGCTGTGATACTATCTAAGCAGTATGCCTTTACCGATGTGTGGCAAAGCCATTGCAGGTACAGCTGGAGAGAAGCATGAACATCATGCGCATGTGTCTCCGAGGCTTTGTGGTCACCAGATCCGAGAGACTCGTGCTGCTCAGCAGCTGGTCCATGGCACGGTTGGCGGACACCAGCATTGGTGACCACATGCCTTGTGCGCGCACGAAATCGAACGCCACGCAGTAGACCCCTTCGAGTGAAAGGTTTCCGTTTGGAGCAGTACATTATATCTGTTGAGTTCATTGCCGAGTAGTTCACAACAAAGGACTGAATATTTGCCTCGCGTTGCTGCAGGGATACGCGTCTGAAGCTGCTGGGCTGCTGCAGGGATGCACCGTCTGAAGCTGCTGCGATGGTGCAGGGATACGCCGCCTGAAGCCGCTGTGCTGGTGCAGGGATGCGTCGGATACGCCGTCTGAAGCTGCTGCGCTGGTGCAGGGATACGCTGCCTGAAGCTGCTGCGCTGCTGCAGGGATACGCCGCCTGAAGCTGCTGCGCTGGTGCAGGGATACGCCGCCTGAAGCTGCTGCGCTGTTGCAGAGATACGTCATCTGAAGCTGCTGCGCTGGTGCAGGGATACGCCGTCTGAAGCTGGTGCGCTGGTGCAGGGATACGCCGTCTG